CAAAGATGGTGGGAGATTCCTTGAGAAAAAGCTTTTTACAATGTTTTATTGCTTGCTTTTTTCGTAATATAAGCTTTTCAACATACTCTCTTTCATAATCCTGTCTCTAAAAACATTTCTGCAGATGAAGGAACAAGAAGATAGACAGGTCTGGTGGTAACAGTGACAGGTTTGCAAAAGACAAACAGAGCAAAAGCAGAAAGACCGAGCGTGAACTCCAAAACAAGAATCTTCTGAAGGCAGACAGTCAGCTGAAAATAAGAGTGTGTTGTGCCTGAAGGAGTACCTTTGCACTCTTACCCACAGCAATAACCCATCTCTCCTGTCTTTCCTCTCTCTCACTTGCCTCTCATCTTTATTTGTAGCTCTTGAGCTGAAGTGGCTCGCTGTCCACCTTTCATCCCCCCATTCCTGCTTTACTGCCTCGGGCCATGTGTTTGGGTGAAGCCTTTGATTAAGAGTATATGACTGTGGGAGTGTGTGTTAGAGAGAGGCAGCTGTGATCATATGTGGTGATATTTATGTGAGGTTTAACCACCTGCTAAATGATGGATTATGATTCTGTATGTGGTAAGAAGTTACTTCTTAAAGCATTCACCCGCCGCTGAATTTTCTTTAAGGTTCTCCAAGTCTTCTGACATTCACCTTGGTCTACAGTTCACCCCACAGACTTTCAGGGCTTTGTCAGTGACACTCACCTTGGTGTTCTGGAGGTAGTTCTTAACCAGGAACAATGTATGTTTTGTGTTGTTGTCATGTTGGAAGACAAAGTGATTTACTTTGTTTTCACATATCATTCTTTCTTCATGAATCCTTCCACTGTGACAAGATTCCCAGTTCAAGACACACTGAAGCATCCCCACAGCACTCCCATCACCGCCTTTCACAGTGTGTGTGTTCTTGGGGTTCCTTCTCCAAACATCTGTAGGACCAATAAGCTCTAGTTTCATCTCATCTGACCAAACGACGCACTTCCAGTACGCATAAACTTTCTCCAGGTTGTCCTTAATGTGTATATATACATACATATACATATATATATATATATAAAAAACACCCAGCACGCCCCTGCAGGCGCTTTATCCTTCAAGCTCGGGTCCTCTACCAGAGGCCTGGGAGCTTGAGGGTCCTGCGCAGTATCTTAGCTGTTCCCAGGACTGTTACCGGATGTTGGCTTCCTTAATTGAGGAATCTTGCTTTTGTCAGTTTCACTCTCACTACACCTGAAACCTTCTTTAGAACTTAAGTACCAACTTTAAACAACACTCTCCTGTAAGAACAATTCACGACTTTTCCAAATCTGCTTGATTTCCTCCTTTTTCGACTCTGTTAACGACTTGATTACTTTCGAACAAGTGGTTGCAGGCCTTAAAACACACTCCCTTCTCGTATTGTTATTCACACTAGGTATGTAAGTAACGTACAGCTATGAGAGCGTATTCTTTACAATGTCTGGCTTTCGCCTCATGTCAAATTCCAAAACAAGTATAACGTAATACTAGACTCCTAAAAACACCTAAAGATCATAAAGATCCTCAATAAATAACAAGGGGTGCCTTGACTCTGGATGTTTATTTCGAGCAGGCATGTTTTCCAGTTCGGTAACGCTTTTATGGACTTGCTGTAAAAAAGGCTCTGCTCCTGCCAATGTTGTAGAACCCCAAAAATTAATCGCAACCCAGAAACTATATGTGACTGACCAGAATTTTTTTTAAAACAAGTTTTTTTCTCTAAATTACAGCAGCAGCTCCCTTGCCTAAAGAACAGAACCTTTTTCTCTATCTTCTCGCACATCTCTGACTCACGACCTCCATAGAGGCCTGGTTTTTTCCCTATCAAAAATAATACAATGCCTCGACATTTTCACCTTCCCAGTTTATCAAGTTTGTATTGCAAACTACAAGATACATTTTCACCCGTCTCGTTCTAAGAGTTCCTCCTATCAACGTGTATTCATGGTGTTTCCTCGCAAGGTCAGTTTTCGGCCCAATTCTTACATCATATGTATATATATTAAGCCATCCTAGTCCTACCTCTAGGTTACCACACTATATTACCAGGGCAAAATTTGATCTCTGCAGAACAAATATATATTCAAGAACATAGTTTTATTGCACCTGATGAAACCAATTATTACAAGTTATATCTCTCATCGCAAAACCTGATATCCTTCCCTCCCCACCTTTCTTCCGTGTAATGAAGGATATCTAATCCGAAGTTAAAATCGCATGAGAGTTGTATGTCTCCTCTTAATTTTCTTAACAGCTCTAGATATTGAAGGATACTTCTGAGATCCTCTTATTGGCACCAATCCACACCTTTTGAAGGCCCGAACCATTTAACCTCAACTTCGATCAAGCATATCCGAATATACTACATCTCCTGACCAGTGTCCAGCGCCATGTTCGCTCACGTTGGCTCTCTAAAGGACGTTGAAAGCCAGCCGATTGATGCCATTAAAAGTTCATAATCTCTTGAAATGATGACACTCTATGCAACTAAGTATCTAGCCATTTTTAATTAAAAACTGTCACAACAATTCAGAATCATTAACTATCTTTCTAAAACGTAGCTAGTAAGACATCTGGACGTAAACTATCCCGCTACTAACGATAACATTATTACACAGATTTGCTTCCTTTTCTTCTTCCACGACCCAGAGTCAATCGTCCATTCTCCTTATATCCAAGTAGTCCTCTATGAAGTAATTATCTGTTTAACAGATTGCTCTCCTTCCTTCCCAGTCTACGTCCATTCTTGTACATAGTCTTGTTACCTCCCGTATTGACTACTGCAATTCTCTTCTGCATGGTCTCCCCCAAAAATCCCTCCATAAGCTTCAACTGGTTCAGAACTCTGCTGCTCGCATTATCACCAGAACCCCCTCCTACCAGCACATCACCCCTGTTCTTCAGGAACTTCACTGGCTCCCTGTGAAATTCCGGATAATTTTCAAACTTCTTCTGCTCACCTTCAAGGCCCTTCATAACCTCGCTCCTTCTTACCTTTCTGACCTGTTAACCACCACTTGTTCTGCCCGTTCACTTCGTTCTTCTTCTTCTGTCCAGCTTACTGTACCTTCCTTCCGCCTCACCACCATGGGAAGCAGAGCTTTCAGCTGCTCTGCTCCCAGGCTGTGGAATTCTCTGCCCCCTGAAATAAGAAATATTGGTTCTCTCCCCCAGTTTAAATCCCAACTCAAAACTCATCTGTTCAAATCTGCATATTCACTGTGAATCCACTGTTTGTTCATTTTATCTTGTGCTTTTATTTTATTGTTCTTATTCTGCCATTGTTTTACTAAGTGTTTTATCCTATTGTAAAGTGTCCTTGGGTGACTTGAAAGGCGCTCATAAATAAAATTTATTATTATTATTATTATTATTATTATTATTATCTTTACACAGCCTGCACCTGGGGTCTTGCCTGGTGTGATAGACCCCAGCCTCTATGGATCTTGTACTCAGAGCTTGTTCTTGTGCTGCCATGATTAGTGCCTCTGTGCTGTCTTTCAGTCCAGCTTTGTCCAGCCACTGGTAGGATTTCTGGATATCAGCCACCTCCTCTATCTGCCGGTGGTACATACCGTGCAGGGGCCTGTCCTTCCATGATGGTTCCTCGTCTCCCTCCTCTTTCTTGGGTTTCTGCTGCCTGAGGTATTCACTGAGCACTCGGTCAGTTGGGGCCATCTTCCCAATGTATTCTTGGATGTTCGTTGTCTCATCCTGGACTGTGGTGCTGACACTCACCAGTCCCCGGCCCCCTTCCTTCCGCTTAGCGTACAGCCTCAGGGTGCTGGACTTGGGGTGAAACCCTCCATGCATGGTAAGGAGCTTTCTTGTCTTTATGCTTTCTTGTCTTTATGTCAGTGGCTTCTATCTCCTCCTTTGGCCAGCCTATTACCCCAGCAGGGTACCTGATCACGGGCAGGGCGTACGTGTTGATGGCCCGGATCTTGTTCTTGCCATTCAGCTGACTCCTCAGGACTTGCCTGACCCTCTGCAGGTACTTGGTGGTTGCAGCTTTCTAGCGGCCTCTTCATGGTTCCCATTCGCCTGGGATCCCCAGGTACTTGTAACTGTCCTCTATGTCTGCAATGTTGCCTTCTGGTAGTTCAATCCCCTCAGTTCTGACTACCTTCCCTCTCTTTGTTACCATCCGACTACACTTCTCCAGTCCGAATGACATTCCAATGTCATTGCTGTATAGCCTGGTAGTGTGGATCAGTGAATCGATGTCTCGTTCACTCTTGGCATACAGCTTGATGTCATCCATGTACAGGAGGTGGCTGACAACTGCTCCGTTCCGTAGTCGGTATCCGTAGCCAGTCTTGTTAATGATCTCACTGAGGGGGTTCAGGCCTATGCAGAACAGCAGTGGGGACAGAGCATCTCCTTGGTAGATCC